GTCACTATGAGTTAGAACCAACTCCAAGGCACACCACCACCATACTTACCTGGCTCTGTGTGTCAAAAGTTCTGTTTTTAGAAATAGTTCTCTTGTGCTTAAAATTAAATAAAAGTGCTGTTCCATAGATTTTCCCAAGGCTGTAAATCTTTACAGGAATAAGCAGCTTCATCTTTCTCCCTCAGAGTGTCTTGTGGGTGTGAATTGTTCACCTTGCAGTTAGCCGTCTAATGGTTAACCCTCTGAGGTACCAGAGCTCCTTCATTATGTTGATAAGCCATCCATAATTAAATTTGAAATATGAAAGGCAAAAAAGCATGGCTAACAGATACTTTGAGTTTTACTGTTTATTCTGCTATTTTTTTTTTGGGTTTTTTTTATTCCTTTTACCAAACCTTCTTGAAATGCAGAATTGGTGTTTAATCTTGATCACTTAAGCAAAGTTTCATGTGCTTTTAAGCATGCTTATTTCTTAATGATGACAATTTTTTTCCTTTATAATGTGTTTTTAATATCTACCTAGAGTAAAATATTTTCAGAGACGTGAGAGTAATTGCCTACAGATATACACATGGATTAAATTTTCTCTCTGATTAATTTTTGTTGTTTTAGGTGGTACTTCCTACATTTATCCTAGAGAAGCGTTCCCTGCTGGAAATGTATGCAGACTTTATGTCTCATCCAGACCTATTCATAGCCATCACTAATGGAACCACAGCTGAGGACAGAATGATGCGTTTTGTTGAGTACTACCTTACTTCATTTCATGAAGGCCGTAAGGGAGCCATTGCTAAGAAACCATACAATCCTATCATTGGAGAAACATTTCACTGTTCCTGGAGCATGCCGAAAAGTGAGCTAGCATCCAGTGATATCAGCTGCTCTTCTACCCAAGCAATCACAAGTCAAGCTCCTCTGTCAGACGAGTCTCTGAACCAGGTGGGATCAGACTGTTACACAGTCAGATTTGTTGCTGAGCAGGTTTCCCATCATCCTCCAGTCTCAGGATTTTATGCAGAATGTGCAGAGAGGAAGATGTGTGTAAATGCGCACATCTGGACTAAAAGCAAATTCTTAGGCATGTCAATAGGCGTAACAATGGTTGGAGAAGGTACGTAGAAAAATTGTTCTTCGATTCTTAGTGTCAAACTGCGATTAAACTTTAGGAAGCTAGATTAACACTAGTTACACATTAAAAATGGTTTGTGTACTACTTTTATGTTCTTAATTTATGTTCCAGAATGCATGTGTGTAAAGGTAAGGGGCTTATTTGTGGACTAATGTAAATTATCTTTTTAATATTTTTTTCCTTCTGACTTTAAATATAAAATACTTTCATTATCAAAAGCTTAAAGCATAAATGAGAAAATTAAAAATATCTCTTCATCCATGCAAACATAAATTCTTTTAGTTACTATTTTTTATTTTTTATGTGTATATTTATACCTGTGGCTTAGTTTTATAAATTGACGATTAGTTATTTAGAGAATTTTGTGTCTTGCTTTTATGAACTAAATATATCTATTTCCCATGTCATTGATGTACCTTTAAAATATGTTTTACTTGCTACATAGTATTCTATGAAATGATTTTACTATCTTTCAAACATAAGATTTTTTTCCCAAATTTAAAATTTTTTAAGTTCTGTTATGATATGGTTCTTTCCAATTTCCACATAATTTTTAAGGCTAACAAAAACTATTTATGACATTGAAAACATCCTTGTTTTAATAAAACAACAACAAAAAAAGGTTTGCCCTTCAAAAAAGAAAAAAAAACAACCCACTGCCTTCAACTTTATGTTAGCTCACCGCTACCAGTGTAGGGTTTTTGAGGCTGCCATCTTTACAGGAACAGGAAGCTGGTGAGTTTATAGTACCAACCTTGCAGTTAGCAGTCCAGTGTTTATCCTATAGCACCATTACCCTTTGGCTCTTTATAAATCATTATAAGTGAAAAGTCTGAAGTCTGGAAGTGATGGCACATACTCAGGGTCATGAAGTTTAAGACATAGCCAGATTTAGAACCTCATTCTTTGACATTCTTTCCCCTTGTACCTTACTCTTGTGTATACAAAAATCTGGTAATGGTAGCTTCTCCCACTCCAAGAGAGAAAATATAAAATGATTTAAAAAAAAAAAAAGATTAATAGTGAATGATATATCTAATAGTTTATTTATTTAAATGCTAGTTATATGTATAGATATATTATCTTTTAGAAATTAAATTGTTGATATTCTCAGGAGAAAGTAAATTCAGTTAATGAAATTTACAACAATTCATTTGCTTCTGTAATGAATTTGTACATGTCCTGTACTAGTCATATTTTTTATTTAGTAGTTTGGGAAATCACATTGAATTATTAATTAAACAAGATTTTAGAATTCTGTGAATCTTCGTTATCCTAACTAGTCCATCATCACAGTTCTGAATCTGATCGTATATTTCTTCAGATTTGAAATCTCAGTGTGTTACTTATGCTCAATACATTCTTAGAAGTCAAAGATCATATTTATAAGAATCATATATTTTTAGAAAATTAATAAACACATTCTGCCCTACCTTTGATAGAGTCTTGGTGTGGCACTGTAGAATAAGCATTCAACCTCGAGGTTGGTTTGAACCTCAAAGTTGACAGTTCATACTTATCAGCCACTCTTGGAAAACCCTGTACAAGGTCACTTAACAACAATCATAGATTCAGCCAATCAACAATTATTGAATACTGAAAATAAACCCTCATGTCATTTAAACCCACCAGCTGTTCTGTGGGAGAAAGATGAGACTTTCTGCTCCCGCAAAGGTTTACAGTCACAGAAACCCTTTACTTTATCACTATGAGTTAGAACTGACTCAACAGCACTTAGCAATAACAATATGTTGTCTGTATATTTTTTACAGCTCCCATATGTATAAGCATTTCACAGCCAGATCCATGTACTTTATGAAATGACTCAAGTACTCCTTGCTATTTGTGGAAACTGTTAAGGGCAATACAGAAAAATAGTTGTCGCTTTATATAAAATTATGCTTTAGAATTTCATTTTACTTATATGCTTATCCTCAAAATTAGTAATATTAAAATATTTATCATAAGTCTTGCCTTTATTTGTGAGCATTAAGAAGAGAAGCCATTTGGGTTAAGATTAGTTCTATACGTGGTCTGATGGTGACCCAATGAATGAACTTAGAAGGTTAAATTCATTGTGGGTTAGACATTGGGTTGCTACCAGCAGGGTCAGAATTTCAAACTCACCAGCTCCTCCTCAAGAGAAAGGTGAGGCTGCCACTCCAGTAAATATTTACAATCTCAGAAACCCTACATGGGGTCACTGTGAGTCAGAATCAACTCAGTGACAGTGGGTTTGGTTTTTTTGATTACACACCTTAATATCACTTAATGATATATGGTAGTGGTTGTGTGCCACTGAGTTGGTTCCAAGTTATAGCAACCGTGCATAGGGTTTCTGAGGCTTTAAATCTCTATGGGAGCAGAAAGCCTCATCTTTCTACCTCGGCATGACTGGTAGATTTGAAATACTGACCTTGCAGTTAGCAGCCTAGCTCATAATCCATTATGCTACCAGCACTTCTTTAATGACATATGTTGTTGTTAAGTGCCACTGAGTCAGTTCCAACCCATAGCGATCCCTGTGTAGGGTTTCCAAGGAGTAACTGGTGAACTTGAACTGCTTGCCTTGATATATAGACCAATATATATACAGATCAATTATTCATGAATATAATATGGAGTCTTGGTGTGGCACTTGACCTTAAGGTCAGTTTGAACTACAAAATTGGTGGTTCAAACTCACCAGCCACTCCTTGGAAACCCTGTACAGGATTGATATGAGTTAGAACTGACTCAGTGGCAATTAACAACAGCAACATTATTCATTAAAAGGAGCCCCGGTAATGCATTGGTTATGCATTGGCCGGTTAACCTCAAGGTCAGCAGTTCGATTCACTAGTCATTCTGCGAGAGAAAGATGAGGCTTTTTGTTTCTGTAAAGACTTAAAGCCTCAGAAACCTCATACAGTGTCGCTGTGAATTGGAACCAACTCATTGACACACACAGCAGCCGTATATTCACTAATAGTCTTTTTGTGTTTTTTAAACTATGTTCAATCCCTTAGCATCTCTCAATGAAACAAACTCCATTGGAATACCAACTATATAGAAATGATCACTTCTGTCTTATTACACTAAAATATTTCAAAATTTGGCAAACAAAATGATTATTATGACCCTGATTTTTCTGATGTTATCACAATTGTTTCTTTTTTTTTTTTTCTTCCTCCACACCCTCTGGAACTAGGATCCCTCTTGAAAGCTTGTAAGCCAGTCACTTCTTGCCTTTGTAGCCCCCCCAGTTTTAGGTAACCAATGTCCAAGTTGCCCATCCCTGTCTACTCTGTATATGGAGAGGGTGGGAGTGATCCTTGCTTTAAAGATTTGTTCCCTCTTTTGAGCTATTACATCCATATGTGTAGGTCAGGTTCATCAAATTGTATCAGATTACTCTTTTTTTCCTCTTCTTTCTTCTTCTAGTTGAGCTCTAACCATCCAGTCATTGAAGCCAGGACAAGTGGATATTATCTGCAAGTCTGGGTGTGCTTATGCATATGCCCTCTCTTCTTATCAGCTGGACGCTTCACTCACCACTCTAGTCCTCTGTGGCTATGTCACTGACTCTGGGCCCAAGAGTCCCCAGGTCTTGCACCACTGCTGGCCAACCAGGTGTCCACCTGGGTTCACAAGAGGCTATTGCCTGTTATAGGGCTTAGCTCGCAGCTTCATTGCTGTTTTTCCCTCACTTCCCCTTATCGGTGATGAACGTGTTCACCAGTCAGAGTGTGTGTTCCCATTGAGTCTTAGTCTCGGAAGGGGGTTTGCTCTGAATGGACCCAACCACTTGCCTTGATGTTTCCTGGGCAAGCAACTTGCTGCACAATTGTTTCTTCATCAATTTACATAGAATGAATGAAGAACATTTTATTTTTCATCATATCATCTAACTTGAGATTGAATCTGTAACATTAGATATTTGAAAAAATTATTAGCATTAATCAGTTTTATCCGTAGCATAATGTCTTAAGCTCTGACTGAAGGTTTTATTTTATATTTAATGGCATTAGAGCGAACTCTTGAAACCTGAAAGAAATAGTAAAATCTTAATGAAAGTAATCTTAACTGCTAGTAGGAGATGTCCAGTATAATTATAAATGCAATTTCACCTCACATTGAATGAAAATAAAGCAAATAATGATGTGTAAACAAAATAACGATGTATAACAGGTAAACAATAGGGAGTTTTTTGGTAAGCTGTCTTTCTTGTGAGGTGTTTGTTAACTACCATAAATGTTTCCACATTCAGGTACCCTTTGTCTACTGGAACATGGAGAAGAGTATACATTTTCCCTACCCTGTGCATACGCCCGGTCAATTCTAACTGTTCCTTGGGTAGAACTGGGTGGCAAAGTGAGTGTCAACTGTGCAAAGACCGGGTACTCAGCCAGCATCACTTTTCATACGAAGCCGTTTTATGGTGGCAAACTACACCGGTAAGATCATTTTATTGGTACTTGGCTCTTACTATACCACTTTGATCCTGTGTTATGACTCCTAATGATTTTTCTGCTTTGTTCCATGACTATGGGGTTGGGTTTTTTTCATGTTTATTTTTGTTTGGTATACTCAGTCTTCCAAGGCATTCTGAAAATCATTATCTTTTTTTAAAATAATAACATTACTAACAGATATGCTTTAATAAAATGTTTCTGGTGAAGTAGCTAACATGATGAAGAATGGAATTCCTTACAGATAATTAAGCAGAATACATGGCCTAATCTTAAATTTTAAAGGGACTCAGATTTGGGTCCAGATCTCTGTGGAAGCAGCCATTGCTCCAAATTAAGGCAACAATATATCTAATCATAAGAAATAGTTCAAGAAATAGAGTGATGGAAACCAACATGCTGTCTTTAGATAACAATATTGAATGTTGTTGTTGTTAAGTGCTGTTGAGTCATAGTGACCCTGTATAGGGTTTCTGAGAAGCAGCTGGTGAACTTGAACTGCCAACCCTGCAGTTCAAACCGACCTGAACTCCACCACATTAACCGCCATCGCCACACCAGGACTCCACAATATTGAATAGTGGTTCTAGTTTCATTTAGGAATGATCTTGTTGGCCTCTTGAGCACTAGTCTAGATCATGGCTTCATGAAAACAAGGTTTCTGATGTTTGTTGTTGTGTACCAAGCTGATTCCAATTCAGAGCGACCGTCTAGTGTCCTTCAGGGCTTCCCAGACTGTCGTCTCCTCAGGAGCAGATTGCCAGGTCTTTTCTCCTAATAGCTACCGATACATTTGAACTGTTAGTTGTGTGGTTTGTAGCAGACTGCTAAGTCACTGCGCTACTAAGGCGCCTAAGTTCTCTAGTAAGAACCTCAAAAGGATACTTTTCCTTTAAGCCCCTGATGTCTGTTTTGACTGTTCCTGAAGTGTAAGAGTAGTTTTATTTTTTATAGCCTTTTTATTGAAATATATATATACAAAATTATACAAATTTCTGAAAACATTTCATCATCTGTATGACCAAGATGTGGAACATTACTAGCACTCCTGTGGCCCTCTTCATGTCCTGTTGTAGCCACAAACTGAGTTCTACTAGCATAGAGTACTTCTGCATATTTTTTAACTTTATAAATGAAGTCATACATTATGTGCTCTTTCATCTTTTTTTCAGCTTCTAGAAAAGAGGCTTGCAAATAGAGAGGAGGAAGGCTTAATGCAACTCTTAACCCCCTTATCCCTGAACAAAGGCTTTGCTGGGGCTAAAAAAAGGTTTGGGATAGGGAAGAGATATCATGTTCATAGCGATAGGTGGGGATTTCTGGGAACTGGCCCATTTAGGGGGCCGTGCTAATTGGGTGTACGCACAGCATTTCTTCAAGAAATGCCTCTGGTAGGAGCAGACAGAGTTTCTTCTGGAATGGCAAGCATATGAAGTTCTTCAGGACTCTAATTCAGACTCCTCCCAGTGGCTAGCATTCTCCTTTGCCCCAGAACAAAGTTTGTCCCTTAAAGTTATGCCTAGGGCACTAGATAAACCAGTCCAACCTATAAAATATCTCACATGGAAGTAAAAAGGCAGAATTTTATGGTAGTCTTCCTTAATGGCAAGTCCCATAAAATAAGAAATTTTTATGGGTGGTCTTCCTTAATGGCAAGTCTCAGGATGTGGTTGCTCAGTTATGGCCCTGGGCATGTCCTGCACATCTTTACAGTTGCCCAAGAAAGAGGGCTGTAGGCCTCAACATTCTTCAGGACTTTAGTTACATTATTTTAATAAGTGGCCCATGTTTAATTCTGATTTCTGGACCCTTATTTCCCTTGTGTCATCATCATAGTAATTTGAGTAACCCAAGCTTTATAATTAAGTGGAAGAGACTTTAGAGGTTATTAGACCAGCATTTACTAAACGGATAAATCCCTTTGCAATATGCCTGGCAACTTATTTGTTTAATCTGTGTTATAATAACATTGTTAGTACAGAATTCACAGTGTCTGAGACAGTCTATTGCATATTCAGATACACACACACACCAATTTATATGAAGTTGGAGCTGAAATCTGTACCCCTGTGATATCATTTCATTAGTGAAACTGTTTTTTAAAGTATATGTTTGAGTAGAATGCTTAGAGGAAAACAACTGCAGGGATAAAGTTTCCAAATTCA